CAAGTATTTCTGCTTTAGCATGGATAATTCTGCTCCCTCTTTTTCCATAGTGGCAACTGAATTTCTGCAGTTCTGCTTTGGCATTGGAAATGTTATGATTGTTCCTGTACAGACCAGTAACATTCTCACTTGAACTACAGGATTTATGGAAGCGTAGAAAGCATGCAGCTAGAGATATCTATAAAAGCATGGGGCTTTTTCTTTCTGGAATTTTCAGAAAAAAGCCTCTGATGTTGAAGAGGTTTAATTCTTTTTTTGTTAGGAATACACTTCTATAGAAATGCCGATATTGTTATGTGCTACCAATGTAAAACTCCGAGCATAGTAAAATGTAAAAAATGTCTTTTTGTAAAAATTGAGTACACAAAAATGTTTTTCTGACTCATGCTTAATTTCTGCAATGCTCTTGAAACAGTTAATGAATTATTCCACCTCAAAATATTTTCACATATTCCTATCCCTAAACATTGATTTAAGTGTTCCATAATATATCTGGGGTTCATTAATAAAAATACATCCCTTTACTATAAATGAATATGTCCTTAAGAAGCTTCATAGGGAAACATATTTTATAATTTTTAATATATTTTTTCCTAATAGTTATCATGTATTTCATGCAACCATCTTCTACTTTGTCAGCTTGGAGCAAGATAGCAACTCCTTTGATATTCAGGAACTGCTATTGTACCAACAGCCTGAGCACCTTTGCATTTACTATCTTTTTGCAGTGGAATAATAATAATAATGGAAGAAGGGAAAGGATGGGAAAAGAGCAGGTACATGTCATTTCTTTCTCAAATTCAAGTATATGCTGCTCTCTTGTGGAACTTCTATGGTAGTTACAAGCACTATATAAAGGTGTCCTTGCCTTTCTGTTTCATTTTGTTCCATTGAATACTGCTAAGACAGATTTAGTGCATATGATGTAGCAGGTTTTTTTTTCAAATTATACTACATAAATACCAATTTGCCTGCTAATGTACTGTTGTTTGGTATTTTTCATTCATAGTCATCCTCCATTGTTGACATAGCTGTGCTTGCTGCTTTTGGAATTAAATTTGTGCTGTTTTGTAAAAAAACATACATTTGCTAATACTTGAAAACTGCCTCTTCTACTCTTTAGGTGACACTGAAACACACCTGTAGTTTTTTCTGGTTCACTCTTTCAATTAGCCTCAGTAAGAAAATAAGTGGTTTAAAGAAGGGAACAAAAACTTGGGTATCTGTTTGCATGATGTTTGTGTCTGTGGGATGTGTTGTCCAAATTATGGACTCTAAAATCTACTATTATGTGTTATGAAACTGAGTGCTGAGTGAAATTTTTAGAATAATTTTTCAAAGTGTGTCAATGTCCAGCCAAAGAAAGGAGGTGATACAGTCACAGAACCGTCCTCTCTGAGGCCCTGGGAAGCAAAGAGCTCCACAAGCAGGAGAACTTTGGTGCCTGGTGTCCTGAGGATGTCTTTGGGGTGAGATTTTCTGCTGTCCAAGGAATATATCTGAATACATGTGTGTTTGAGTTTACACGGCAGTTGCTTTGTCATAAAGAGCATCTCTCTACCTTGACATCCATTTTCATTACAAGACAGAAGCATTTGAGGCTGTTGCCCTTCTGTCAGATGTGATCAAAAATGTTATTTATTACTGAGTGATACGGTGGTAGACCAATTTATTACCTATTTATCTGGAAAACATAAGATAATAGTAATAACAACAAGCCTCATTTGTGCCTGAACATACCCTACATTCTTACATGTTATGCAGCATATTTTATCCAGTAGAATCCTAAAGAAATACACAGACTAAGTGTCCCCCCTTCTGGCTCACCCTTAGAATTTCTACTGCAAACCCAATAGCTTGTTTCTGGACAGTCTGGTTGAGTTCACTGATATAACACACACCCAGCAAAATGCTCTACTACAAAGAAACACTTCATTCCCTGATATAAATACTTGCTGCCACCTCTGCTGAGAGAAAAAAAAATTCTTAGTGCAAGTACTTATTCCTGTAAGCAGCAAGGATCTTTGAAGATATGTTAGAGTACCACCATCGTTAAAATCACACAGGCAATTTCAAGAACACTGAAGTAAGCCCTGTTCAGAAAGTCGAGGTAGGGTTTAGACATTTTGTCTGCTCTAACCCTTGTTAGAGGTGCTCCTTGGAGGAGCACCACCTATGTTCAAAGGGGGGCAAGAAAGGTCCTGGAGGTATCTTAGTGCAAACTGGGCTTCCACGAGGCAATGGCTAACGCACTATAAACACAGCCTCTGGCTCCCTGCACACCAGCTTCTCTGTGTAGCCAAGCCTTGTATTCTCTTGCTTGCAGACAGGATATTCTCCGGTGAAAAGAGGGAGTCCAAAGAATCAAGTCATAATCAGTGTGCTTTTGTGACTCCTGTGAAAAAGAATGAGAGTTACAAAGGAAAAGCAAGTAGATTTTGAGTGTACAATATTTCAGAAGAGATTGGGAGAGGGTGTTTTTATGATATTCTATTATGTCTCCTCTTTAGAGAGAGGCTAAGCCAGTGCCAAAGGAATAGTTTTCCAATGTGCTATTTGTTCACAGGATGGATAGGGGCTGACAAGCTGACCATCAGAACGGTTTCTTTGTCCTTGGAGCTCCAGGTGGTTTAACAGTGCTGACAAGCTACGTGTTTTTACCAAAATGACTGTTCATTCCTTTTTAGATGACTTTTCAGCCCTTTCCAGCTTATTTTTCAAGGACTTTTAAAGGCAAAAAAATAAAGCAGGGTATAATAGGAGGGTGGTGGGGAGGTAAGGGTAAGGTAATACAGGGTGTACACATTATGGGGAGAGGGTCTCTCTTGCCTTATTCAGAAACACATTCACCCAGACAAAACTCAGAGATAGAAGTATCAGTGTTCGTGCCACATAAATAAGAATCATGGCATAATCATGGCTATAAACAGAATTACTATCAGCAAGATTGACATGACTGTATTACATTCCATGCATTTTCTGAAAGTATATTTAAGGATTTAAAGTGCAGTATTAAAATTATTCTCAAGAGCCTTAGAAGACTTTTTTAATATAATATTTTTTTAATTGATTTTAATAAAATATTTGAAAGTTCAGCCCTTTAGGATAGGTAAAGATAATATGGTAATTACCTAATGTAGACAGCATATAATGTTGTTGGCATTCATGATTATAATCTGGTTTAGTCCATGTAGATTAGAAAAGAATAAAAGAACAGACTGATTTATTGCTTATAAAAAATGAGTTATTTTTGCTTACTACTTTAAGTTCTGATTTTGACCAGCTTATAGGATAAATATAAATTTGGGGCTGAACAGAGAGGACTAATGACTTCCTTCAAGCTGTTCCTAATGCAGCTGGCTCCTCACTGCCAGGGTCTGCAGCTGAGTCACAGTCAGCATGTTGACCACCAAGAGCGACTTCCAGGCTTGCAAGCTATCTTAGCACCTCTGTAATCTCTCTGCAATATTTGTAAGGATATATTTCATTTTTATTATGTATCTTTTTCTAATTATAGATGAATTCTTCACACCTTTTGAAATAATCAGTCAAAGTATTCAACTACTTAGCAAGTGGAGACAATTTTGCCCAGAAAGGGATAGAAATAGGGAAAAGTGACTGCATATATTCTCTGTTACCTACCTGCGGGTGGAAAAAATGCTGACTTCTATATGCAGTAGTTACTTTGTTAGCTTTTCAGGCAAGAACTGGGGAAGAGAGTTGCCTTATGTTCCAGAAATTGGGCTAGAGACCTCAAATCCATTGACTTTCAGAACTACGTTGACTTGGTTGAGGTCTGAGGACCATTGGGATAAATGGCACTGGCATCCTGAATTTCTGATAAAACTACACTGGCAGTTCATCCAAAGAGGGTCAAATATCCACATCCAGTGCATAATGGGGTAATTATATTTTATTTGCATCATTCCTAGCACCCAAAAGATGGATGTGATATTTGATGCAAACTAACATGTTTTGAAAAGTTTCACCATTATTTTTTTAGCAAATGGTTGTGTCTAATCTTCTTTCCTGCACAGCTTGTCCTCATTGCTGAGCTTCTTCAGGGAATAAGAAAGAAAGTTTCTGCAAGAATGCTGCTCCCTTCTTAGGAATGGTCTCTTTGCCTTTAAAAGTCTGTTTCCCTAAAATACTTAAAAAACTTAATTAACTTCTGGTCCTCATTCCTTTCTTCCATTTATTTACAGAAACTGCTCATTGGTGCATATGATTGCACTTGCTCTTCATCAACAGCGTAAACTTTGCATCATCTCATCAGAAAATTGCATTGTATTGTTTCCTTCTGTCTTATCACTTTACTTTCATCTTATTTTAAAAGCTTATTCATATCACTGAAGCCTTTCCTCAAAGTTGTTGAGTGTTTGCTAAACTTTTATCACGTGTCACAATTCAGCTGCAGATGCTGGCACTGAGAGAGGGAACTGCACACACAGCTGCATGAGTAAGAGCTCGAAGGAGGTCATTAGTCCCCTCTGCTCGGCCCTGAATTTATATCTATGTCTGATATCAGAAAGGAGATCTACATGCTGTGGATTTACTGTCCATGTTTCTAGGGGTGCTAAATCAGCAAAAAGGAGCACAAAGGGCCTGGCAGTGGCAACAGTGACAGCTAGAGCAAGGAAAAACATTGGCGGAGCAGAGATTTGCCAGCTGTACTGCAGTGGATAGTGCAACGCTGTATTCAAAGAGGTGCAGATGAGAGTAGGAATAGGAAAAGGAAATGTTGGTCTCTGATGGGACCCTCCCAGTGCAGTAATCCGTGTCTCTAAATCTCCACATTGCCTTGATTTTATTTCTGCATCTGCTACAAAGACAGCGTCACGGGAGAATTCACAGGCCGTGCATCTCCAAAATGTAACCGCACCCGGATTTTGGGCAGAAATTCTGACCCGCCTCCCGCGCTGCGCGGAGGGACCGAGCGAGCGGAGGGCGGTGCCCGCGGGCAGAGCGGCGCGGCCGCAGCGCCGCCTGGTGGCCCCGGGACGAACTGCGCCAGGCCGGGGCTGCCGGGACCCCCGGCCCGGGACCACCCGCCCCGTGCGGAGGCAGCGAAGCGACCGCCAGCGCTGCCGGTGCTTTGCTGTGAGGCACCGACACACACGACGAGAAACTGACAGTATTTTAAAACTTACAGGATTTGCCGAGTGTCGCGTTCTGTTTGATTTTGGCAACTGTCTCACGGTGAAGTAACTCCCTGATGCCGCTTCCTCTCCGCAGTTACCATTGTAGGATTGTCATCTTACCGTAGCAGAGGGATTTCCTGTGTCAGTAAGGGGAGAATTCCCTGGAGTTCCAGACAAAGGCACTATCCTGCTCTTGACAGATCCACAGCTTGCCATTGATGCTGAAGTGCAGAGTTGTAAGAACTCTGGTATTGTGGTTAGCTGGGGAGTATAGGTCAGACTAGAGGTGTCCTATGCCAGGGAAACAATTAATGTGTCGTTTTATCCCATGCAAAATATTTATCACCTAGAGCTGATGATCGATATAGCGATAGGATTTTTCAGATACAACCAAGGTGTTTTCATAAGAAAAGACTCAATTTTTTCAGGTAATGAAGACCTCCAATAACCAAATATGAAATATTAACATTACTCCTGTGTTTATTTCCATTTTAATTTTCTACCTTTTTTCATTCTCAAAACGTGCAAGCTCCCACTGGCAGGAGTGTCATGAGCTTTGTCTCTGCATTTTATTACCTACTGCCAAATACTCTTCTCTCCTCCTATTTAAGTCCAGTGCATATTTCAGCATCAGTGCTGCTAGGCATAACCAGCTTGTCAAAGTTTATTTTAGAAGCTATTTACTGTAATTTGTGAGGGAGATTGGCGACTCTTTGGTTGCTCCACCGCTGCTTTGCAGTCAATCAAAAGTAGAGAAGTAATTTAATTCCAGTGTCCTCTCCAGAGAAAATCTTTGAAAGGACAATAATGAAGTAGGAACATGATGGACATAGAAAAAAGCAGAGCACAGGACAGATGCCTCAGTTGTGTAGTTCCCATCCAAAAAGTGTGCCTTGCTCATTATTCATGTGTTCAGTGCAGGAGCTTTCATACCCATCTATTACTGAGGAATGAGCTGGAAATAGCTGTTGTGCTGTTGCAGGAACAGTGTCATGAAGAAAGAGTAACAAAACCTCTGATAATAGTGTTAATTGTAGACTCCAAATGTAAAGATAGGGCAGGACTTGGTTTTATAAGCAAGGTATCAAAGTTATTTTTCTGTATGTGTTTCTCTGTTGCAGGCCCACCATTAACATTTCTAGGTTTAATCTCTGGTAAAGGGAGGTTTAACATGCCTAGACTGAGAAAATTCACCTTCCCACTGACCATCTCACATCTCACCACATGTTCCAAGGGAGGTATCTCCTTTTTCTTCACTTTAACTTGGTTCATGTGAGGCTTTTGAATGTGTCCACCTTAGTTGTCATGAGGTTTCACTCTGAGTTGTTCTGTGTTGAGCACTGAGAATAAAAAGAGATGTCACTTTTCTTAGTAGCGATTGCATTTTAATTTCTGAGAGAGAGATTATTTTGTAAGAAAAGAGAAAGATGACTGTAAACACAAGCAGAGCTCTTTACTGATAATATCAAACTTAAACATTGATAATGATCTTTCTCTCACTTCAACAAATAACTAGGTGCTTATTCAAAAGATGGAGCTACTTTTTTCATCCCCCTCAAAAATGCAAGGCAGAGTACCAGACACCTGACTATCTCCTGGGGACTCCTTCATATTGTATGATTTCTGTTTTTCTGCAAGAGTGAAAATGTGGCTGTTACAGTTAAGTCTTTAAATGGGGAAGTCTTTGAAAATGTCTTGTCATCCACATATGCAAGTTCAGGCCTTACATACTCAAAAATCTTCTGATGGGCTCAGAAGTGTGTCTTGGCTCAGTGGTACCTTGCTCAAATATCTGATATCTCATGTGCAGTTTCTTGTATATCCATTTATCATTTATTAATGGTATCATTAGTATGGTTTCCAGAGCTATTGCCCTACCAATGGATGTTGGATATACACAGACTAAAACAGCCTACATATGTATAAAGGTTTTTGATACAACACTTTGTTCTTCCTCCCTGGTCTTGTACCAAGACATTGTAACACACTAGTAGTTCAAGTGTCTTAGCACACTTACACACACACACACACATATATATACACACATGTAGTTATATATATGCAAACAGATTGGTTTTAAACTATCAGTAAATTTTCCAGAAGTCCAAAGTCTGTAATAATTAGCACTTAGAAAATTTTGTGAAGATTTTCATCAACATAATTCATGTTTTGACATGCAAAGACTAATGTTTATACAAAAAGTCTGCTAAAGGTTCATTGCTTTCATTTGCACCTCTGTTTGATTAATCTTTTTTCTTGGTCCATCACTTTTTTTTTCCCCATCAGTTAGGGGTTTTTGCTGTTAATCTAACATCTTTGAAGTCTCTCTTTGATTCAAGGAAATGAAAGTTGGATGGTAATGTTTGAAAAGGTGCTATTCCTGTTAAATAATGAAGTCATTCTGGCTCAGCTTGTTCACTGATAGGTTTCCATTTTGCTAATTGGTCTGATGACATGTAAAAGTGTTTAGAAGACATCACAAAAGTGACAGAAAAAACATGTCCCCAATTTGTTTTAGTGTTCTGGTAAACTTTTCTGAAGTTTTTTCCTTTCTTCTTTTTAGAGCTGTAAACACCAGAAGGAGACTTTATTAAATTGCTTTTACCTCAGACTACATACTACTTTCCATTAAAGTAATGGAAAAGGGAAAAATGTTTGAAACTGTTGCATCTTTGTTCTTTTTCTAAGGCAAGAACATTGAGAGTCCACACAATGGCATTTTAATAACTGACCTTATTACCTTCACAGCAGTAGAAAAAACCAGTTTGGGTTTACCAAACTGGTTAAAAGGAAACAAAACAATTCCATACAATATATCCTTGAAAAAGCACATAACATAAATATGTTATTTTCAAAATGGCAAGCAGTTCTATAGAACATATATATGAAGTCTAAGAAGATATTCACAGACTCTATTTTGCAGAATCTCCTTTCCATCCTTTGAATCATTATATTACATGCCTCCAGAATAGGTGTATTGCTATTCTGGCCCTCTGCTGTGCAAATAAGCAAAGCAGCTTTCCCCTAATTTTTTACCCTTTTCCAATCAACATGCTCGCTTATAAATTGTTACACTGTTGTGGCTGTGGTTTACTTTTCATAGGCTTATGCTTTATATCACTGTATACATATACAGAACTTGGTGCTCAAGTGTTGTGTCTTGGCCCTGTTCTCACTAGACCACAGGGAAATTATGGAGAATCTAAACAGAATGGATTTTACCTAAAAGTGCTTTGCCTGGGAGTCCAATGCATGAGAATCTTGTGTGTTAAAAAGGGTTTTGGGAAGCCATGGAGGCCCTGGTTATAGGTGGTACAGGGGTGAAACAGAATCTGGTAATTGAACTATTCATCTTGCAACACTGTTGTGATTTTCTCTGCAGAAGACACAGAAACATGATTCTGAGTGTTTGTTTGCTACTGAAAGATCATTAAATAGATATTTGTTTTGCCAGAGAATTCATCCAGGTGTAGCTGCATCACCAAAGTCTACAGAAAATTTGCATCACCCTCATAGATGAAGATAAGGGCCTACAACTGAAAAATTAACATGTTGGTTGAATTTGTTAGCATACTTATTTGTTAGTATCAGCTTCCACATCCCAGAAGTCTCACATATGTTTGCTATAAAACCAGTGTACAGTGTGTGAAATAGCCTGCTCTAATTACAATCTAGACAATGCGAGGAAAGTGAAGCTAATTCAAGTCATCTCTATTAAGTCATCCAAAACATGGCATTACATGGCATGAAATCAAATTACTTGGATGCAGACTGGTGACAAGGGAAATATTATGTGGCGGGATCATGCCTTTTTTTCCCCTTCTTTCAGCCAACAAATTAGAAGCTTGTTTGAAAAGTCAGCTTAATTTGATATACTGCTGTGGTGATGACAACTTGGATGGCATTTAGCTCTCAGGAAGCAAACCTTTTAAAAGAAAAGCCCAAAATCTTCAGTGATGGTATGTGGTTTTTTCGTAGTCTTATAGATTTTGGTCCCTAAGAATCTGAAGGTGGTAAGTTAATACATCTGGGATGTGATTTCACTGTATTTTAGGTCCATTTTACAAGCAGTGAAAAAATGTGCTTCTATTAGACAAGCATACAAAAAAAGTTGACAACTTTGGTCAATTGTAAATCTAGCAATCGTTTATATGCAGGATATACCAAATGCAGATAAGCTGAAAGAAAAAAGTCTTTACTGAGACACTTGTGGCTTTCAAAATACTGAAAAGTTGTTGACAAATTTATTTTATTTTTTACTTTTTGCTTGAATATTTTTTCCCCTCAGACATTACTAGCTGTAGTTAAGAGGGGCTTACTTCACTTGTCTGTGAACTAATTAATAAGTTTTATATGATAATTTTTAACATTGGGATCCCAGCCTGGCCTGCTAGGTGTGAGAAATAATGATATTGTCCATGTTCCTGCCCTCAGGTATTAGAACCTATAAAAAAAAACCCCATCTTTCCATTATTTGTTAATCCCATCAAGATTTCTATGAATCCTAACCCATCACCTGACTCGGTGTCCAAAGAAAACAGAGTAAAGCATGGAAGCAAAAGTGTATATGTTTTACAATACTATCAGTTATATAATCGTGTGATATTTTTTTCTGACCGGGTCCAATCTTCATTCACTTCAGATAGTCAACTCTTACAATTAATTTCTCTGCACCTTCTACTCAAGTTTCATCCCTATCTTCCTCCCAAATTCATCTTTCTTTGTCTCTATAAATCCCTTAATCTTCTTAGTGTGCCATACCAGGAGTATGTATCTTGTGGGAGTTCAGTTTCCAGTATTTGAAGATGCTTCTATGGGACAAGGGGGAAATTATGGGTTTTAAAAATTTGTAATTTTTCCTGATTTGAATGGTTTTAAAGAAAGGCTAGGTTTGACTTTACAGTCAGCTCCTCCTTGCAGTTCCCCTGTTTTGAGTTCTCCCCCAAACTGGATAAAAAGTAAGGTTTCTAACCAAAGGATTGTCTGGCATTTTTTTTAATAAGAAAGTCATCATAGGGTACCCAATTTTAGCTGAAGCTTTAATGTGGGTGGATGGCAGGATTACGAAGCCTGGAAAGAACAGCTTTAGAAACGTGTCCATTACAGTGCCAGCCTTCCCGGGACTGAGCGAAGTAGAAAAACAACAACTACTTGCGTTTTTTATTGTACAGGTTCTCCCTGAGTTGTGTGATTTCCCTGACCCACACAGCCCCATTCGGAACCAGGCTGTCTCCCCTTCCCGATCCCGGAGTCCGCCTCTGCATAAGCAGGATAGGCTGTCTCACCCGCCTCTCCCCAGTCCTTGGTTTTGTTACTGGAACACGGTCCTCCTGTATCCTCCATTGGTCAATAGAGCCCTCAAGCCACTCCCTTTTCCCCGAACCTTGACCCAATCACGTTCCTTCTTCTTGCTCTCCCCTCGAGCCCATATAAGCCACGGGAGTTTCGAAATAAAGGCCTTTTTGCCTTGGAACTCAGAGAGGAAACTTGGTCGCTCTCTCCCTGCCAAAAAGGGGACTGCATGACTGAGTTCTTCTCCGGGAAACCTCTAGCAGAGTCCACAATCAAGATCCGTTACTTTAAAACAATATTTAATTGCATAAAGATCAATGAAGGTATAAGTAATTGAAATAAGTTGTGATAATGGTAAATATTGCAGAATTGTCACCCTAGATCACCTGGCCTATCCACAGCACAGCACTCCCTAATGAAAGAGACCTGGGTGCTCTCCCTGGCCATCAGAATTGTTTGGATCAGCAAATGTTCCACTATTGTAGGCAGTTTATTTTTAATGTTTTCCCAGTTGAGACTTCTACTACTTTCCTGGAGTATGCTTTAGTCTTAGGAATCATAAATATCGGAGCTGAAGTTTGCGCAGGTACTTCTTCAAGGCCATATATCCAGACCATATATCAAAGTCTTTTTTTGTCTACATGCACTTGAGTTACATGTTGTTCTTGTGTTATTCTCAAGGTACACTGACTATCTGAATGGGCTGGAATTTTATGCTGTTCTTATCTCGTTATGACATTCACATTCTTTCAAGTCCTCCTTTAAAAAGAATTTTGTTCACCTGTCTTCAGCTCAAGACTCTTTCCACCATGCTATGGGTGGGCAGGCATGTTTCAGGCACTTACGTGTGCGTGTGACCCTTGATGCTCGAGGAGGAATCACACTCTGGGTAAAATGACTGACAGGCTCTCCTGCTTCTTGTCTTTTATGAATTTAGGGCAATGGTACCTGCTGTAGACCATATCCCAGATCTGCTTCTTACTTGACTACTCTGGAGCCATTAGAAGGGTGGTAGATGCTAAGAGATGCCATAAGTTCAAAAGCAAATTGGTCCCAAAGTAAAAGCCACCTAAGTCAGCTGTATACAGTGGCTGGTGGACAACTACTGGCCTAGAGGGTCCTGAAACAAACAACGCTTGGCTTGATATTGTAAATGCAAGAAAAAGTTCTATGCTACAAAAACTTTTAATTTTTTATTATTCTTTAAAGATTACTTTCAAATTTTCCACTCATTAATATCTTTTGCTAATAAGTTGTTTTGCGAGATGTATAACTGCTAAATAATTCTTTACTTATTCTGTCCCTGTCTTCACCAGTCCTTTGCTGAGCTGTAGTTAAAGGTACTATTCTTCTATTTACTATCACAAACGTAAGTTATTTTGAAATAATTCTACTCTGCTCTTGAGGGAGAAAAGCCTCATAGCACATTTTTTCTTGTCTTTGATCACATCAGATTTTGATGTGGCTCATTGCTTTATGACATATTTTCCCTTGCTCTTCTTTGTCCCTCACTGCTATCTTGCAGTTTTTTGCAGTCAATCCTAGCTACTCTTTCATTCACTTCAGGCAGTTTTTTGTTCTAGTTGTTCATAATTTTAATATTTTCAGTAACTAGCCCATAGGCTTCTTTACCATGTCTGCTCAGTCAGTATTTTTCTTTAGCATTAGCAAGTTCTGTGTCCGTATTGAACAGCTTTCTAGCTCATGGGTATATTAGGTGGACAACATTAGTTTAGCTGGTTACACTTGTGACACAAAATCACAGTTCAGACAAAAGCCTTGCTTATGGTAATAAATACTTATGTATTTCCTTCAAAAATTGTCATTGTTGATTTTTTTTCTGTCATCACATTTTTTTGCACGTAGTGCAGTTTTAGTAAATTTAGGATTTTGATTCAGGTCTAAATTAAAAGATCCTGCTAAACTAGCTTGAATTTCTCCATTAAAAATAGCAAGATGTGTCCTTAAGGTAAAGACAATATTTTCTTACATTTTTAAACATCTCTCTAATTATTTGAAGGCAGACTGTCTCTAGCTTTTTAAAATTTGATGTACCAAGAGAAGATCAGTGTATCTATATTCATATAACTCAAAAATTCTATCTATCCTTTTTTTCTCATCCATCTGCCCCAGAATTCTCTATGCTACTACAGAGTTGTTACACTTAAAATCTTGCTTATGGGCATAAGCAGTAAGCACACCTTTTATGTATGCAGAGCTAAAAAATTATTAGTATTACTAAAAGTGAAGCACTCTAACCATTATTAGTCCAGATCTCATTGTTTAAAAAAGAAAAATAATGCAGTTAAAATGTTTGTAAAAATACCTGCTAGTGCCTACTCCTTCCTCCCAGTGTTAGGCTGATGTCTCCACTGCTCCTCTGGGTGCTGAGCTTGGGGTTTCACACTGGTGGCAGTGGTGAAGTGTCAGTGAATTGTCAGCCTCTGGAGTCTTTCAGTGTGAGGAATGTGATATTTGTGGCGAACCTTACTCTAGGATCAATTTGGGTAATTTCTATGTGTCTGCCAACACCCTTTTGCACCTTTGCTCTGTCTTCATTGTTCTGTAGTTTCATATTGCACTCAATTTACTATACATGGTGTTTTTTATGTATATTAGATACTATTTCTTTGTTATCTCTAAAACTAGTTCTGTCCAGCTCCAGATCTACAATCATCATGTTAATCATAAGCATGACTCTGCAAAGAATAACTGCTTGTTACTGCTACCTGTGTAAAACTATGATTCTACTATACAAAGGAAAACAAAACAAATTAAATGTATACACCTGGTGCCCTTCCTGCTATTCCAACTTGATTTCCTTTGGTGATGCTCTTAGCAACTAGTTCAGCTGGGTTAAAAGCCTTCCAGAAGATGAGAGAATGAAACATGGACATAGATATATTGTATTTGACAGTCAAATATGTACAATACTGACACAAACTAAAACGGGGAAAGATTCTCCTTCCCACCCCCTCCCCTAAAAAAAAAAAAAAAAAAAAAGGAAAAGGCTGTGGAAATATGAAGACATGCACAATGGATTGTGCAAGTCCTCTGCAGAGAAACTGGGAGCACAATGAATTTCCTTGTCCTTAGGGGGTTGTATGCAAAATGGAAGATCTGGAAGGTTTTTTGAAAAGCACTTTGCACACAGTAATCTGGAGAATTCTTTAAAATAATATTTTTTCCCCTCTTTAAAAGAAATTTAATGTTTTTTACTTTTATTTAATTGTCCTGTGATTCTACTGTAAGAAACCCAACAATCCTCCTAATCCTGTTGCATTTATGATTTCTTCTCGTATACATAGTTCAATACAATTATGTAGAGATAGCTCAGGATGTTTTGCATGCTAATTGACAACTGCTGAAGTAGAACTTAAAAGTTTTAAACAATTTAAATCAAGTAATAATAAATGTTATTATCACATATATTATTTTCTTATAATCTCCATAGTGTAATTATAGGAATATAAAGCCTTAAATAATAGCAGAAAGCTTTATGGCTTATTGTTAAACATAAAGACAATTTTTAATATGTCATGGTAAGGCACTTTGATGAGACCTATGAAGTATTCTGGAGAAACATACTGTATTGCCATTTCACTGATCTAAGGTGGCAGATGGAAGTCTTGTCATCTGCAGTACCACCTCATTTCAAAGAGAATATATTAACAGATATGGAGTATGACAATTTTTAATGTAAATAATGCTTTCCCTTTCTGAAAGAGCCCATTTACTGTTTTGAGGCCATTAGACTTCTGTCCTGGCTTCTTCATCACTGCAATTCTGCAATAGGATTTGAGAGTCAGTTTGAGACTGACAATTAACTTCTTGCTTGTGTTGCAAAGCTTCCTTTTATACTCCTGTAAAACTGAACAAATGACTGCCACTAATGTTATGCTCATCAACTAGTAAGTGGGGGCCATTTAAGGCAGAAATGTCGGATTTAGCTCCAGCTGCTGTTCTAATGTTGCAGAAAGCTTTTGCTGCAGTTCATTAAATTCAACTTCAGGCAGTCACAAAACTGCCAGCTAATTATTTTTTTCTTTCCTCGGCTAAGTGAAACCTGGTGTCACCAATTTCCACTCACAAAATGGAGCTACAGAATCCTGCATTCTGAAGACTGAAGAAACAAAGCAGTGAGGAAGCAACCAACATAATTCTTATAAGAAGAGGTAAGACTGAACCAGTGAAACTATTTCCTACCAATTTGTCAGACTACCTTGGTAGTTAGACTCTGTGTGGGACATTGTTTCTTTGCTAGTAGGTCACACGGCCTTTATTAATAACTGTTTATGTTTTGGGGACTAATAATCAGATTGGAGATGCAGGTTATGTGGGTTCATCTCTCTGGTTGAAAAGGAGCAGACCTGCAGCTGACAGGTACTCTGCAGTACTGAGTACATGGGATGTTTTAGTCTCTATTATGTTGGTAAAAATCAAATTAAATAATGAGAATTTCTTTCATTTTATGCAATATCGAAACTAAAAGTGAGATCCAAAGTTGAAAGATACCTGTATGGAGATGCCCCTTCTGACCTTAAGTACAGAATATCTACCTGAACACAGCTCTGTGTTAACACATGTATGATGCTGCACACCTCTGATAAACTGTTTTAACATATCTCAAGATCATCTGTACTACCCCTGATTTTAAGTTGTTGGTATAGCTTAAAGTAACTAAAACGAGAACATTCATGTGTGTTTAGAATAAGTAACTAAAGCCAGACATCCATGTGTGTTTAGAATAACACTCAGAAACAGAAAACGTGAATAACCTCCTGCCATGGAGCTGCTCATGGGAATAGGGTTTTGGTTGACTCCCATGGTGATTTACTCTTTAGGGACTTCACAAACAGAGAACATTTCCAAGCTAGTCCACCAAACTTTCATCCCAGAATTCTTGGAAAAATAATAGATAGTGAGAATTTGAGCTTCTGTTAATCATTGTTTATTGTCATATCACAGTCAGGTTTTCAAAGAGGGACTTCTCCTTTCTGCTGTAATTGTACACACAGAACAGAGACTCCTCACTATGCTTTTACAATTAAAATTAACAAATATACAAAATGAGCGTAACAACGGAACAGTATAGAAAAGTGTGCAGTAACAGCAATAGAATGGTATAGTTAATATATGTAGAACCGGGTATCTTCAAGGTTTCTAAATACATAGCTGCAGCTTTGGTTGCAAGAAGAGAGGAAAAATGATTTCAACCTCAAAATTCCCATTTTAAATATGCATATTTTTGCTTTTGACAGCATGTCTTCAAATACTTGTAAGCTGTCAACTGGTAACTATTGTTGTCTAACTGTATCTTAAGAGTGAGAAGACACATCAAAAGAAAATTAAAGCTGTGATAGCAATCAGTGCAAATCAGAAAAGTTCCACATAAGGATGAAATCTAGAATTTGTGACAAGCACCAAGACACAATGGGGACACAGGAAGAAAGACATTAAGGGAGTTGGGTTTAGAGTATGAAAGCAAGACACAATATGTCACCGTTGTCTTTCTATGACAGTTTTCATATTTTTTATATGAAGCAGGTTGTTTAAATAAGTTTGAGTTTAGTCTGAGAGAGGGTTTTGTAGGACTTCATTATGCAGCACATTAAAAATAACCTGTCAGTACTGGACAGCCAACAAACTGAACATCCATTCACAGAATTGTTAACTAAATTCTGGTCATGGGCTCAAGTAATATTTCCATATATGCATCTCAATGAGAGCAGTGGATAGAATTAAAAGGATGAGAATTATGTCACAGTTTGATATGTATAGGTAAGAAAGAGAGTTTTTTATAATTGTTAAGGAAAGGAAACAATTAGACTTGCTTTCAAATGCAATACTGTAATTGTGAGAATTTTTTTTTTGTAAGCTAAACAAAACTGACACTCTGAAAAGTATTTTTCAAAATAAACAAAACCTCATTAATTTTTTAATTTCAGTTTCAGAATATATTCTCACAAACATAAGGACTAGGTTCTGAATACAACCCACAAAAAATTAAAACATATATGGGAGCCACTAAACCCTCATCTATGAATGGACAATACCAAATCTTACTTTCTAGAAAGACGGGTGTCCTGGGTTGAGTGGCTCCTCCCTCTCCCCCCCGGGGTCTCCAAACCACCTCAACAGGATTTGCTAATACATAAATGCATAGTGATAATTTAATAGGTTCAACCTTGAACTCTTTGAAATGTGATTTCTTTGAATATGGAAAACAACAACAGGTATGATCATGGATTATGATCCTGTGGCCAAGTTTTCCCTTCACCATAGTGACAAACCAAAGGACTTTTTCCCTTACCCAAAAGGGGGTCCAAACCAGTCATGGGCCTCCCAGCAGAGCCTTATGAGAGCTGGGAGAACTAATGACCTCCTTCAAGCTCTCTCCAGTGCAGCCCTGTGTGCAGCTGCCTCCCTCACTGCCAGAGTCTGCAGCTGAGCCATGCTCAGTGTGTTGTCCACCCACCACCTTTTCAGCAGGGCTGTTACCTGACCGAAGTAGGACAAGTAGGATTAGGTATTGAACAGCATCAGCTTGTCAAGGCTGGTCAGAATATCAATACCAGAAGTGGCCTATGCATCAGGCTGGAAGGGTCAGCTTCCAGCACCACCACCTGTGTGTACACAGAGGTTGGCATTAACAACCTGACAGAGTTTGAGAAGCATTTGGACAATGTTCTTAGGCACATGGTGTGACTCTTGGGGTTGTCCTGTGCAGGGCTAAGTTGGACTCGATGATCCTTGTGGGTCCCTTCCAACTCAGCATATTCTGTGATTCTATGAACCTGCCACCCTGAGCTGACGTATTCTCATCAGGCTCAGTCCTGTCCCAGAGCAAAGATGCCATTGGCAAACAGAAAGAGCAATAGCATCTGCCCAGTGTCACTGAAGGGGTGCCTCACAGTAAGCCTTCCAACTTTTCCGTTAAGCAGGACTTAGAAAATGCCCATTTACAAAAGGATGCAGAGATGCTTCACCAGTATGTCCGCACAGGACCAACCTCTCCACAGCCAGGGACAGTGCCTGAATGAAGGTAAGAAAAATTAGACACCTGCACCCTCTGCTGAAAATTAAATGAACAGGCAAGCAAAGACTAAGATATACACACACACACACACACACACATTCATGATCCCCACCCCCCTCCGAAGAAGTGTTAATCTGCCTGGTCATTAGCTACTTTTCGAAAGAAAGTAAGCTTTACTGTGTCTAAGAAAACAATAAGAAGATTCAGAGATCACCTGTTCTGTAGTCAAACTGTGCATAGAGATACCAAGCAGATCCTGAATGGCTGCTTAAGCTCACTGCTGTTTCAGCAGGATAATTTTTTAGACCTAATACTGTTGGTCTTCACATAACTAGGCGGCTAAAATATTTACAAGGCTTATCTAAGCCTCTTGATTTACCTCTCAATTTATGTCCTTTCATTATACTTGTACTGGAAAATCATATTCTCTAGTAATTTTTTTTTTAATAAAGACTACCTTTCCCAAACTGTAAACCATTACTCTTGAAGTCTCACAACCAATTGTCAAAATGCTACGTTTTCTTTACTGAATGTGAAGACAATATAATCTTCTATAGTATATCATAGCTAATTCTATTCTGCAGAGCTTAAATAAGAATTTTAATTTTCTTCTCTCAAATACGTTTTTTAACTGTTCTTAAAATTCTGCCTATATTGAATTAAACTACTTTAAATGATCTAAGAAATTCCTCTATTAAGTTGCAGGTAGGACTCAAGAAAAATACTTCTCTGATTTTACTGTGAATTTCTGCAGGAGAAAGCATGGGTAGGAGGTACTTCTGAAAATCCTGAAATGCCTCTAAAATTAGTTGTGTGCTCTCAAAATTGTGTTAGCCTGGAAGAGTTACTGAGGAGGTAATAACTACTGAAATAGGACAAATCCCCTGTGATTTGGTGTGTAAATACACAGCAGAACTGGACATGAAAAAAATTGAATTTTGGAGAGCACAGAGATAGAATATGAGCAGTTACAGAAAAAAGTGCAAAGTGACTCTTTTTCTTTTTGTATAGGGACAGTGACAGACTCAGCTTCACTGAAGTGATGTCTTTTAGTGAGATCTTGATCCACCTCTTATTCTCCACAAAAGGGTTGGATTTTCTGATATAAAAATGCCAATTAAGGAAGAAAATTTAAAATATCAATTATTTATTGCATTTATTGGATATTTATCAATTAACTAAACATCTTTTGTAAATTTCTAAGTCAACTAGGACTGTAGCAACAGACTTGACAGTTACTATAGCATCAGCAATTATTTTTCTTTTTAAAGACTTGTTTTTAACAAGAATATGTTTGCTAACTCCTTAAAAAAACCCAAAACAAAACAAAACCAAAAAGAGACTACTTAAAATGTGGTCATATTTTAGGGATCTGGCTTTTATTGTTACTCTATCCCACTATATACTACATCTATTAAAAAAGACATTAAATGATTTTGTGTTTATATTTATTGTCAGCAATACATCAGTTATGTAAAAATAACCCAGATGAAAATGTAAGACTTGTTACATTTTCACATCATCTGTATTAACTGAATAAAGCTTAGTGACAATATACACAAATTTGCAGTAGTAGTTGTACGTAAACATTTTGTGCATTAAAAAAGAAATGTACATAATTTAAAAAATAAAAATGCATTACACAATTTACAAATTAACATTAACAAAAAAAAAAGGTAAACATTCCTCAGACAGCTGCCTCCTTGTTCTACAAAATAAATATTCAAGTAAATTAAATTAGGCAAAATAAACTCTTAACTTTGGGTGAGTACAATTTACATAAAGGTAAGAAGACAGATTTCCATTTAATTCAAGGTATATTTTACAGTGATTTACACATAGAATTTTTAAGTTGGTCTCTTCAAATTGTAATATTGGAAAAAAATCTTTATTACATTTTGACAGGAGGAAGGGGGTTTCAAAATTGATACTTTATACCAAATATAAACAAGCTTGTGCAGTTGCATCAAAGCTTCAAAAAGGAACTGCTCCAGGACTCAAAGCAGACACAGTAATCTAGAAACTACAGTTTTAAAAAGGAAAATACAAACCACCACATCAACAGGGAAATGTCTACTTTGCTATTTTCTGAATGGTTTTTTGATCACTGGAAACATTACTTTCACAAACTAATAATCTACAGTAGTGGCTGCTTTAGGCACTGGATTTGTAGAAGCACTCTGATTTTTAAAGCAAATTGCTTTTCATTCTATACTGATAATTCACCTATTATTTATTTCCGTTTCAATGCTAGAGGGCTTAATCACCTTAGCAACTTTTAGCTTTACATACAATTTCTGCCCTCCTTACAGCCTAATATTTTTTTCTTGATAATGAGGGAAGCCATTCTGGCTTCAAATCTCCATGCACTTTGTTCATAGAAAAAATAATAATAAAAATGCACTCTAGATTTTAAATGCAGTATGATGCAGATGTGCACCAGATATTCACTGCTCAGATATAAAATGTAACACATACTAAAATACTTGCATGGATTGCAAAGGCCAAACATACTTAAAAAACCCTCCTATCTCTTTCTTTGTCCATTTTATATGGTAAGAAAAAGGAGATGTCATACTTTAATTTCAAGTTTTTAAATGCTTAGATTTAGGACATAAAACTCTTCAAGGCAAGAACTAGGCAACAGCTCCTGCTAAGACCAGCCTGTATAATAAATAAAGATGACTCATTGTCAATGAAAGAAACCCTGTTCCCTCAATGCCCTATTGGTCCAAAACAATATGATGACACAGAATCAGACTTTTAAAAGTACAGAAAACATTATTAAACTTTATTTCTCCATATGTAGTTATCGTTCTTTAAAACTTCATAACTTTTCCACGTATGTCTGACAACAGAGGAATCAACCAGGTTTTTCTTGTTTTCTACTCACGAACGCCAAGGTAAGTAAAATCATCAAGATTTGTATTTTTCCTATGGATCTTTACAAAGTGATGTAAGAGTGAAGCCCCCAGTCCTGAAATACCTATATGAGTGAACCACTGCTGTGGCAGGGGGCCATGGAACTTCATCCTCTGTGCCTGGATCAAGGTATAAAATGAGAAACTAAACCTGTAACAAAGATTGTTACTATTGTTCCTCTGCTCATCCTTCCCATTTGGGGAATACTTACATAGTGGGAGGGAGGTAATTTTCTTGATTCAGTAATGCCACACTGGTAATATGTTAGCTAAGTTAAAGTAGGACCATAATCTCTCTTGAACATCCACAAAATGCTCATTGGTTCCAGAAATTATTCTACATGAAAAAAAAGTGTGTATTTTTAAGGACTGATGTTACCTATTGACGTCCACGAGAATCTTGCCATTGATTTCTGCTGATCTGGGCCAAAGTTTGCAAAGCTACAGTTTTATTCAGTGTGCAAAACCCGGTGCTTCTTGAGTAAATAGCATAAGTAGATAATAGATAAGTAGGCAGAAGTGGTTTAGGTTATAAAAAAGACCTGAGAACCTAATATTGAACTTTATATAAGAATTATTTTTGAGAGGTTGCCTGATAGAGTTTTCTATTGCTTACTAGTGGCACAGTCACTTGTATGTTCAGGCTACACATAGAAGCCATTTGAGGAGAATAACCCTTCTCAGGTCATGGATCACATCCGTAAGAGGCATGTAGATACAAGTCAATGACCTTCATGATGGAAGCGGTAACACTGAAAAGCCATAAGCATGGAAGAAGTTAACAGTGAGTTTTCATACTGCCAGATTTTTTTTAAAATTCATAAGTATTAAAATGGCAGAACTATTGATCTTATTGTTTACTTGCCAGTACACTCAAGAATTTGACTAATTAAAAGAGTCTATCCAATTATCCTAATTAGAAAAGATGAAAGGGGTCTGAGTATTTCACTGTCAGCAACAGTGAAAAAGCTTTCACTAGCAAAAGGAAAGAAAAGCAAAACCATTTTATTTCAGTTGAACAATCAGAACAGCTTTTTAGACAAGAAGTATGTCACTCAGGATTACAGGGCAACCACTTTTCTTTTTCTTTTCTTCTTTTTCTAGCAAAGTTAACAAATATAAAAAATCTAGTCATAAACAGCCTTCAAAGTACAATTAGAAACCAGCAGGACAATCTATACCAGTATAGGTAGATGGGGCAAGAAACTAGACACTTGTATTACTGCCATGATGTAGACTACAAATGGCTGCTGTGATGAGGAACGGTGTGTACAGTACACGTCAGCCAATTCCATCCAGTCACAGTCCAAACCGAACACTACTCTCTTCAGGATTCAAGACCTGTCTACTTGACACTCCTTGCACAAGATACATCATTATCCTTTCTGAAAAGAGGCAGTTTCTATGGCAATACTAGTTAAGTGCATATCATGCTGCACTAATATAGTGCAAAAATTTGCCTTACATGTAGCAAAAAAGATGCAGGCAACAGTTTGAGTTAGAGAAAGTAGAAACGTATTGTAACATTTACAACAGGTATTCTTTTTCCAGACAGCAACCACTAGAAAATATTAAATCTGAGAATGCCTCCTTTCTGGATGTACACATGAGGCCTTTGGAGTGGTAACAGGACAGAATTTTGCAAGTGAGTCATTGCCCTCTGAAATGCAGGTTAACACAAGTTATCATCGACTGGCAAACTCTTGAGCTTGCTCAGTGGGTTGATCCCAGTTAAAAGTTAATATTGTACTAAGCACTAAAATGCTCTTTAACAAGTATATAATCAGATAGAGTAATACATATGGTTCAACTGAGTATATATGTTATGCTTGAATATAAAGAGTCATAGACAGCTTGGTACAAACTCTTCATGCGTACTGATTATACTTGGTTAATGATGCAAGGGCTTCCAACTTTCAATACTATGTCAGCTACAGTCTTCTGGAGACAGAAGTGGTGCTTATAGTTTCTGAGATTGAGGAAACACCAGAGATCTCCAACTGCAGTGTCTATTAACTTGATTCTGCCAGATTTCTCAGTGCTGATGGTCTAAAGTAAAGCAATAATACCTTGAATATCCATAGGCATTATGAAATCCATCCTTCTTTATCTATGGTGCAATTACAAAAAAAGAAAGAGTCAAAACACTTAATCCACTCCATAGAAAATCCCTGTGGCTTTGGACACCTTCTTATTTCAATCCAATAATTTGGACTCCATTTGTCACCATGAGAAGTTATATTTTACATATCTGCATCTCCATCATAAGCCAAGGTTAAAGGTTTCAGTCGGTTGTTCTGCCTTCTCTGGGGCTTCTTTGGCTTTTTGCTGAAACAATAAGATAATTTGTAAATAGAACAAGCAACTAATAACATACAAAGACGGACTTCAGTCATAAACAAAAGATGAGCATGCTGATAATGCATTCGGTTGTTCATTTATAAAAGCTATAAGTCTAAAAGCTTCACTTGGATCTCTAATTATCTCTTTATCAAACCAAAGCAATATCTCATTGAAAGCTCAGTTGTACACAAAGAAGCTGTTATGGTGCTGATGTGACTTGATAAAATTCCTGGCAGGTACTTCTGCAACATCAGTCAGTTTTCAGAAGAACTCAGAGCCTGCCATGCAACATTTGGTCATATATCAAAGCTGCAATCAGGTTCTTTTAAATTACGCTATTCAAATCTTAAACCTCTCTCAACAGATCAAGGGTTTCCACAGGAAAGTTCCATCTTTTGATTGGTTTTATCTCATTATCCTTGCTGGAATGACTAGAGTTGATTCTAGGTATTATAATCAAACCGATCATAAATAGCAGGAATATGGCTGTTAGCCATAACATTCCTTGTCCAGCCTTGAATTAGAATATAATTCAGCAGTATTTCCAACCCATTTGATATAGTTTTAAAAAATTACCAGGCCAAAGGAAAATGAATGTTTATGCATGCTTTAGTACTTGTCTTCTTTTAGAGTGTAATATAAGCATTTCTTTATATCAGGCCTGTGCACGCTCAGTCTTGTCCAAAATCTTATCTCAGCTATGTCACTTAGGCTGCCCAAATGTGAAACTTTCATATCAAGCCAGTTGTTACAATGGCTTGCAGTGGCCACAGATTACTACTAAAAAGCAAACAAATCCAGAAGCACCCTAAATGCCCAAATGCCTACTAATGCAGTACAGCCTGATGTATATGACCACACTTCCCTCACCTTTTACCTGCACAATCATTTAGATCAGAAATCCCAAAAAAGACCTAGAAAACTTCAGGGAGCACATTCACAAAGGTGACTTGTTAAAAAAATATCATTTCATGTATGAAAAAGACAAGAAAATTTTCAGACTTTTTTGGTTGTGTATCTCTATGTCCTGTCAAATATAAAATCTGACTTGACTGATTATTAGATTTCCTTCTTGCTATTCTCTTTCCATTTTGAGATACAGACAAAATAAAATTATTATGGACACTGTAACAGAGATAAACTGAGAAAAAGTAAAATGTACACTAAGTTACCCCTTATTTGTAAGTTCTTCTAACCTCAGGAGAGCATGTGATTATCCATCAACTAGAGTAAAACCAGAATTTACTAACCTGAGTCTGAACAAAAGGACATGGAAAATTAAACACTGCGGTTCCTACAGCAGCAGATGTAAACACTTGCATTACAGTCTGTGTGGGACTGTTTGTTTATAAATAATTAAAGAACTCACCAGGCTAGATAGATCATAGAAACAATAAAGATGAGTAAAACAAATGCACCAGCAGCTACACCATAAACCCAGGTCTTCAGCCTCCCATCTAAAAGGAATGAATGTTAGTCAGTAGTGTTTGAGTTAGTGTTTTTGAATTATTAGTTCTGATATAGCATAAAAATACTTTAATAATTCAAAATGAATGTATTCACTAAAAATTACAGATGAGTAAATGCTGTTAAATAAGTGAGCAATGACTTCTCTGTGCACTAGTGCTCTGCTTTACAACCAGTCTGGATAATTCAAATGTAGTTGAGATGTGGGACAGAGGCAGCAGGTGAGATATCCAGAAACTCAGCCCCAGGGCCCGCTGGTAGTGAGCAATCCCTCAGTATCATTGCAGGGCAGTCCATCAGCCCAGGGCTCATATATGCTGTTAGCATCACTTTCCATTCCAGCTCCAGTAAATCAATCTGCCTGTTATTTTTACTCCTGTTTCTATTTACTTTTATGTTTTTAAATAATCCCAGCATGCTTTATCTCATCCATACCTTAACTGTACATACACAACTTTCACTACAGCATAAAGTAATACTTTTTTAATATCTTTTCCCACCAAATGCAAGTTTTGTTATTATAAAACTACTTCTCACAGAATAAAAGTATACTAAAAAAGACAATCCATGCTCATAGATAGAACAACTGTCTGTTGTTAACAAGGACTGTATTTATGTTCAGCCTGTGCAGTTTGTATTTTGGACATGATGTTCTTGCAGGCTGAGGTACACATAACACTCTCCTTCTTGCCTCGATCCTAGAAGCACCCAATTCTACCAGGAAAAATGATGTGACCTTGTCTGTGGGGTTTTGCTCTGACCCCAAATGAGCATGTCAGAACTAAAAGTACGGGCATGCTCTTTGACTCATTACTTTTATCTGACTCATTTTTCGAATTTTTACATGATTTTTTGAAAACATTGTTTTCCAGGATGTTAGCTAGCCTTGTTACATTTCCTTGACAATAAAAAAAATCCATTATAAATCTGAATTATTTCATTTACAAATGGCAAAAGTTTTATTCCATGAAGTTGTGTATATTTTCAATGTAAGCAAACACAGACAAAATTTTTCAGACCAAACCCTTACTGCTTCCTGATATCTCTCTAGAACAAAGAGACATCATCAATGCAGTTTATATTTCTGCAATGTAATAATAAAAATTAGTCAGACGGAGTTTGCTCCATCACACAGTAGTGCTTTCTACTGCTCTGCATTTAAGCTTTCTGGTCTCTAGCAATGCAAAACCTTGCAGTCATGTGGATAAGTTGTTCAAGACTAATCAATATCAAAACATTTTACCTTTGCTACGTTAATTAACCTAAAAAACATTATAACTGATGTAACTGAAATTAACTGATAAATTAAACAGTAGATTTGACCTGACATCATCATGGCTAGGCTTCGCGAATGAAGATCTGGGGATATTTGACCTGACATACTCTATGATATAATATCAATGAGAGGAATTCAGACTTCAGTACTACTAAATAGGTTAGTTTGTTCTCTCCTTGCCTTATTTCCATTGGTAAATTTAAGGGTTTTCAGGTTGTTTGGGGTTGACTTGTTTTAAAATAGTAACATCTTGAAAAAAAGACTGGAAATATCTTGTCTTATTTAGTTTTGTCAAAGTAAGGAACTCTGTTAATGAGGTCATTCCTATTATGCAACTACTGGCATCTAACTCAGGCTTTCTGAATTCCCTCTGGACAGATTATTTCTAAGGATACAAGGGAATTGGCATCTCAAACTCATCTGTTTGCGGTAATACATCAGCACAGATAACTGAAGAGGATAGTTTTAATACTTTCCTTTCCGAAACTGCAATAAAATTTGTTGAAGACAGTGAAAGAACTATTTTAAATTTAGACTTAGAAACTGTGAGGAAAGGAATAATCATGCCAGAGTAAATGAAAACCTTTCCAATAGATATCCAATCCTGAAATTAAAATGATCCAGCGTAAATCTCATCTAAAGTGCAAAATGTTCACTTTCTTTCACATTTGCTCATACCTTCACTGCATAAAGGATTAGTTCTATTGAATATGATTGGGATTATCTGAACTGAGCTTTGTCTCCTTCCTAAATTGAATTACAGAAAAATTGGTGAGTTTTCATGAAATCTCTCAACTGGACTTTGCTCCAAACCCACGCCTGAGCTCACATGAGCATCCAAATTCCTAAACAGTTTAAGACAACTGTCCGATATTTGCTTATTTTTGCCAATCTGGCTTCTACAGCCCACCCTCTGGCCTTTTCAGGTGCAGTTAGCTAGAATGAGTAAATCATAACATATTTGTTAAGATGCTGTTTTTTAAAGGAGAACCAGAAAAGTTTAATTTTCTTTTTCTTTTTTTATTGTTGATTAAAGTACTTGGACTAAAGACCATTTTATTGCAGGTATCAAATATGTATCATAGTACAAATAACAGTAAATGCTAGCAGGACTAATGGGATCTAACATAAGTATTTCTAACTTCTAACCTGAATGTTATTTAATCTGCTTATTACAAGTATTGTGATAATTCTCAATTTGCAACATTTTATAGATTATGCATGTAAAGATAGTGGTTTCAATTCTGAGATTAAAAACATACAAAAACCTTTAGAAAGAAATGAACATTTTAGGACATAAGTGTGTTAGATTATTTAGCTCTATGTGATTTAAAAAACACTTAAGATGATAATCAATTTCTCTCTTCCATATAAATAACATTTTGGGCAAGCAACATATATCTTTATGTGAAAGTATTTTGTTAATTAAAGTTTTATTTATCTCAATACTTAATAGCACTAAGAAATATTTACTGATATGTGATTACATGATAGACTATACAAAGTATTTTTTATGAAATAACTGACTTATATTTCATGCCACTCTTGCACATAAGTCCTTGCTCAGCTCTTACGAGCATGGTCCATTATAAAAGCAAATACTGCCTACAGAGACTTCAAGCATGTCTATGTTAAATGTCAATAATATGGTTAGATTTTGACTAAAATGAATTAGCTTAAATATGGATATGGCAGAAAAGCATTACCGTATCTATGCAGATTATTTTCCTACAATTTATCCTATGGCTGCGGATTTCAAGCAGCCTTTACCCTTTGCAGTCACCAGATCTACCTTTTCATTCCTCTGTCAACAGTATTGTTTGTTAAGACACCTTAATTAAACATCCTGGCTTGCACCTTTGCAGCCAACTTGCTTCTAAAGTCACATTTCAAATAGCTTTTGTGAATTTTAACAGGTATAAGGGATTAAAAGGAAATCTTCTGCAATATAAGATTTCATTAAATATATTGATGGAGTAGTGAGAAGGCTAGGGGTTTACTTATCTCCCTTTGTTTTCAGTCAGAGCAGATTCCTGCCTTCTTAAATGAACACTTGAGGGTTTTTCTTTTCTTTTCTTCCTTGGCATCACAAAACATAAATGCCAGACCCTGAAGCAGTACTTAGCACTAAGAACTGCTCATTGCATGACTTCACCTGGCCCAAAAGGCTGTAGAAACCAGGTCCTTCCTCGTCCTGACTGGTTACTGGAGGGCTGGGTGGGGTTCACAGCTCGACTGGTTTTCACATCTCCCTTTTTGTCCTCCATGGTGGGGATCACCACCACTGGGATGAGAGTGCACTGTTCGAGTGTGCCATCGGAGGACATAACTTCAGTGTATCCATCTTCACAACTGCATGTTCTAGTCTGTAGGGAACAAGTGTTTTACACTGTGTAGCAGAAAAATAAAGTTTTCTGTGAGCTACAAAGCATAACAAAACGGATGACTGGAAGAGAAGACTCTTTTGATGAGTGCTAGCCTGGAGAGTACCTCTTCGTATATTTTTATGCAAGTTCAGACCATATCAACAGAGAGTATTTAACATTTAACTGAAAGACTGAAAATGGTGTGAGGTTGATTTTAACAAATCAATAACTAGTAAAATCTCCAAAAATACTTTTTGTTGGCACAATCTTTGTAATGCAGAAAGATGTGTGGGAAGCCCTCACGGGGGTGTTTTATGCTCCAATGCAGTAGCACATACCTCACTGCAGTAAGCGTGGGGATGGCTGCACGGTGGGTTACATGACCTGTCAGCATCTGGTTGGCGCATCACTAAACAGCCCCCTGTAGGACAGAAAATCATATTTTGACATGGTAATACCTCACCACTGATGAAACTACTGATGTCATTACTTGCTGCAGTATATAATGGATGTCAATTTTTTTGCTAATTTGAATTTGAGAGTCCTTCTCTTGTTCCAAGGTGAAGGGTAATTGGTATCAAGTATTTTCTTATAGGTAGAGTAAAAGGATACAGCAAATGTATTTGATTTCATGTGTATTTTAGAGAACTATTAATTGGCAATGGAGCCTTTTGCTTTCGCCTTTGTTCCTTTGGTGGATTGCTCAAAAAAACAGTTTAAATGCTTTAAAACAGTTTTAAATGCTCAAGGGAATAGATTTGGCTCTCTAGGGCCTTCCTTATGACTCTCATATTAAAACTGTGGCCAAAATAGAAGTAAAAGTATATTTTTAATTTATGTCTTTGCCTGTTAAACTGAAAACAATTTACTCATCCTGTTTATGAAAGGATGCCTGTTTTCTGCTGCTCCTCTGTGGTCACTTTTACACATGCTATAGCTTTGTCTTCATGAAGTGAGGCTTCATGTCAGTGTAAGATTTTTTTGAAAGGAAAGCAGTATTATCAGTAAAGGATGTACTGAATGTTACAATACTGATAATATAGTGCATTTCAGTCTTTTTCCTTTTTATACAGACCTAGTTCTCATTTCTGTAACTTTATGTACAGTGCAGTTATTGTTAGGGACCAATACACACAATCAGGCTTTCACTATCATTTCAGCCAGAATGTCTTTAAAATACGTTTAGAAACAGTCTGAATTTACCTGTGTTTCCTTTTGGCTTACAGAAGAGGGATATGCATCATGTAGTTTAAAATTTATACTGCTACAGGACAACTTATCTTTCATCTCTCACATTAGTAATACTTTTATACTGGTGTGATATGATAATGAAATCCTGATAGCTGAGGTTGGTCACAACCATAGCAGATGCAGTTAGATGTGGTTATGTAGATCCAAGTGTTAACAGGATGACTGATGAAGAACAATGAAAACCCTGCTGGTTACCCTAAGTTTTCCCCATCCCCAGAAAAGAAAATCATACATCCTAGCATACAAATCACATGCCTGTGGGAATCTATGCAATAAAATATCAGTCATCCAAGGAAGCTGCAGAAGGAAATCGCCCATGGGAAATAACACCTTCAAGTAAAAAAGAGCTATTCAGTACAGCAATATTATGCAAGTAAGTAAATAGATAAAGACCTTAAAATACCAACAGGACTCAAATTAATTCTTTGATAATGTCTGAATTAAAATATATTATGTTAGAGCCAAATGTACAGCAATAAGGCAGACAAGAAACACAGTCATCAGAGATATGGGTTGATTATAGATCACAGTAGGTAATCTCCATTTAAATCAATCATGTTTGAGCTCTTAAATACTGTAGTTTATACAAAATACTTTCAAAAAATGTACAATTGTAAATTAAAATCTGGTTCGCTACTGTATATTTAATGTAGAGAAATTCTCACAGAACTTATACTTAAGTGCTGTGTCTGAAAACAATCAGAAACATATGAAAAATATAGTTTTGCATTGCACAGAGACTGGTGATTGCATGTTCTGGAATTTTCCACTATTCTTCATTTCAAACCAGAAAGTTACCACAGCTTTAGGGCCACATACAAACAAAAATGTCTTCCAATGTCTTTGAAAGAAGTTATACAGTACAGGTCTGAGGTCTGTCAACCTAGGAGGTCCCACTATGAAAAATCTGCCAACAACACACATTCATACATTTGTCTTTCCTAGAATTTATCTCATGGCCATATTCAGTCACATCAGAACAAATTATTATTTTCATATATGAAATATATGAAATAATCAGAATGATTCATAAATTCTGATATATTTTCATATATGAAATATATGAAATATATCAGAATTTATGAATACATTCTGATTTTAACATCTCAGAGCCACAATCTCCAATATTCTACTTATTTTGAAATCCTAGAGGACCTTTCATAGATAATATCCTATATTAATCTCAATAAGAATTCTTACTTAGGAGTTTTACTTACCATACAAGCATCTTAGCTAAGCAGGAAGGAATCAAGATGCACAAATAATGCCTTGTTTCCTTTGCTGTGAACATGATGTGTTTTAATAGTCTAACAGCATAAGGTAATATTTGCAAGAAACTTTGAACTATTATTTCAACACCTTGTAAAGCTAATACAGATATTTTATTTCTACTGTTACAATAAACAGAAGTGTTGTATTGGCAGTCCATGAATAACAGATCCCCTCCTGTGACTGACCTGGTAGTGGCTGGCATTGAGGATGTGTTTACAATCTCTGGGATTCTTTTACTATCATCTGAGCTGATACAAAAACTATTTATAAAACAAATGCATAACTCTTAGCTTAAATGAATCCCTATTTCTGAAAAAAAATCCATATAAATAGACGGATACGAAGATTTTCTTCTGAGACCTCAGTTTTTCTCTAATTCATGTTTTTTATGCTTTGGTTTGCAAAACAATTCATTACATCCCGTAGCTGTCCACTGAAGTATCCTGATATAGATTTATGGCATTAAAGAAATAAACTTATATCAGCACATTTATTAAAATTTGATATTTTGTAATTTTAAGGAGATGTATCATATATGGATGACATTATCAAGTTTGCAACTTTCTCTGCCTTTGTATAGGCACTGAAATGACCTTTAATACATAAAAGTTCTATTTGTTGTAGGGCTAGAAATCTAAACCCCTAAATTTAGAAGTGCGAAGATGCCTATGGTAAAAAAAAAAACAAACAACCATATATAATGTAAAATATTTCAGGTTCACTACAGAAGATAATATTTATATTTACTTTTAGCATTACTTGCTGCATAATTCTGGAAAAGAAACCACATCTTTTATATGCAAAAAGATGATGATTCAAATCAACATGTCAATTCTGACATCAGGAAGGGTTTTAGCAGATTTTTTTTCTTTTTTTTTCAATTTATTGGAAAACCACATTATCCACCTGTTTTCCAGGCTTTTTCTGTGTGTATAAAAAGAGTAGTTACCTGTGACGTTTAAACCATCTGACCTTTGGCACCACACGGTCCGAGAGGATCCCTTCCATGGGCTAGCCATCCACTTGTATTCATAACACTGGCCATCTACAGAGAGAAAATTTGTTTTTCAAGAAATTTGATGACGAGATCTTAGGCTACCACTGTTAGCAACTACACTTCATCAGTAGATCATCCTCATTCTGTGACCACACTCATTATAATTAACAGCTTGAACAGCTAAGTAGGGTCTTCCTCCTTCATCCAGCAACTTAGAAGAC